ATGGAGAAGTTGAAGACCCTTCTTGTCGCGAACCGTGGGGAGATTGCAGTACGGATATGCAGAACTGCCCGCAAGCTAGGCATTCGGACGATATCGATATACACCAGCGCAGACGCGGCGTCCTCGCACGTCGGCGCGGCGGATGAGGCCGTTCTGCTCTCTGGGCCCGATTCGAAAGGATACATCGATGCAGAGCAGATTGTGGACATCGCAAAATCGAAAGGCGCCAATGGCGTGATCCCGGGTTATGGCTTCTTATCCGAGAACACGGACTTTGCGCACCAGGTCACGCAGGCTGGCATGGTGTTCGTAGGGCCGAGCTCGAAATGTATCGAGGACTTTGGTATCAAGCATACTGCACGAGAGTTGGCCGCAAAGGCCAATGTCCCCATCGTGCCAGGTACCAAGGGTCTTGTCAATTCCGAAGACGAAGCTGTGGAGGAGGCGAAGAAGTTGGGTTTCCCAGTGAGTTTGTTGTCTACTCGACGAGCTGATAAGAAGGTGTTGTTTGCTGACCACTCTGCTGTAGGTCATGCTCAAAGCCACGGCAGGCGGAGGAGGAATGGGCTTACTGACATGCGCGAATGAAGAAGACGTGCGTAAATCGTTCACGACGGTCCAGTCTCGTGGTGAGACACTGTTCAAGAACGCCGGACTGTTCATTGAGCGGTACTACGCGTCTTCCCATCATATCGAAGTGCAAGTGTTCGGTAACGGACAGGGTCAGGCTGTGCACTTCGGCGAGCGCGAATGCTCGATCCAACGCCGACATCAGAAGGTCGTTGAAGAATGTCCGAGTCCGTTCGTCGTCAAACATCCCGAACTGCGGGAGAAGTTGGGCTCTGCTGCCGTTCGATTAGCCGAGTCGATTAATTATGGCTCGGCCGGCACGATCGAGTACCTCGTGGACGACGAGTCAGGCGACTTCTTCTTCCTCGAAATGAACACCCGCTTACAGGTGGAGCACGGTATTACCGAGCTGTGCTACGGCGTCGATCTGGTCGAATTGATGCTCAAGCAAGCAGATGCGGAATTATGTGGCAAAGGGGGTCTTCCGGGAGACTATCTCAAGGGTCTCCAACCAAAAGAGCCCAATGGTGCGGCGATTGAGGTTCGCTTATATGCTGAGAATCCGGCGAAAAATTACGCTCCATCACCGGGAACCCTGCAACATGTATCCTGGAAAGACGTGCCTGGCTCAAGGGTTGACGGCTGGGTACACACCGGCACCAAAGTCACGTCCTTTTACGACCCGCTGCTCGCCAAAGTCATGATGCACGCTCCCACACGGGATGAAGCGACCAACAAGCTCATCGAAATGCTCCAGGGGTCGAAGATACTCGGACCACCGACGAACATCGAGTTTCTGACAGAAATCCTACAAGACGAGACTTTCAAATCCGGCCGCACCATGACCAAGTTCCTCGAATCGTTCAAGTACGAACCTCACGCAATCGACGTCCTGCAAGGAGGGGCGTACACCCTCGTCGAGGACTGGCCCGGACGACCGACGATTGGAAAGGGCTTCTCACATTCTGGGCCTATGGATCCCGTGGCATTCCGGATCGCAAATGCCCTCGTCGGAAACCCAACAGGCAAGGAAGGTATCGAGATCACCCTGAGTGGTCCTGATCTGAGATTCCTCGGTCCAGCCATCATCGCGATCTGTGGTGCGCCCATGGAAGTCAAACTCGACGGCCAGCCTACGCCGATGTGGACTCGTTTGAAAATCGAAGCTGGTCAACGCCTGACAGTGGGAAAGACGACCGGAGGAGGTTGCCGATCCTATCTGGCCATCTATGGCGGCCTGCCGAGTATTGCGACATGGTTCGGATCGAAATCCACTGCCCCAATGACGGCCGTGGGAGGGTATCAAGGCCGAGCACTCGCCGCTGGTGATCTTCTCGCTATAACGAGTGAATTGCCGGACAACAATGGTGAATTGAAACTTCCCGAACACTTGATCCCGTCGTATCCAGCGGAATGGGATCTTTTCTCCATGCCCGGACCGTATGACGAGGGTTTCATCACCGAGGAGTCAATCGAAGAGTTTTACGCTAGCACATATACCGTCTCGCACAATGCATCGCGTGGAGGGATTCGCCTTCTGGGGACGAAACCGAAATGGTCACGGCCAGACGGTGGCGAGGGCGGTTCTCATCCGTCAAATGTCATCGAGTACGGGTATCCTGTCGGCACGTTGAATTGGACGGGCGATGACCCGTGCTTGTTCCCGGTCGATGCGCCTGATTATGGCGGTTTCGTGTCTGCCACTACCATTGTGAAGGCGGATTACTGGCGGATGGGCCAGATGAAAGCCGGCAACAAGCTGCGGTTCAGACGAATTTCATACGCGGACGCCATCACCAAGAGGAATGAGGTCGAGACGTTTCTGGCGAAGATCCACGACGTGTGCAATGGACAGGGTAGTTTCGGGGACGTTTCGCCGCTGAATTATGAAAACTTCCCACCATCCACGGAGAACAAAGGTTGGGAGAAAGCACTGATTCACCAGATCAAAGAGGAGCCGAGCAAGAATCAGCCGCTTGTGTCGTATCGTCAGGGCGGTGATGATTTCATCCTGATCGACTACGGCCATGGATCATTCGATTTGAATTACCGATGCCGCGCGGTCGCGCTGTACCAGAAGCTGCGTGAGTCAAAGGGTGATATATCCTTCGCGAACGGCGCGATGTTCACGGGCATGGCGTGCGGGAATGGGTTGATGTTGTATTTCGACTCACTGAAGGTCAGTCGACCGAAGATGACGGAGTATTTGCTCAAGCTCGAGAACGAACTGGGTGACTTGAGTGAGGCGAAGTATCCGAGCAGGGTGTACAAAATGCCCATCACATTCACGAGTAAGAGACAGAAAGAGAGTTTGCAAAGGTATATGGAAACGCAGAGACCCTATGCGGTGTATTTGCCGGATCCGGCGGACTTTGTGGCGAGGAACAACGGCTTCACCCAACAACAGGTAAGCATGAACCGTCGAATTTTGGTCTTGTGGTTGACTTGAGATAGCTGCGTGATATCCTGACAAAATCGTCGCTAATGGTCGTTGCTGTGGGGTTCTTCATCGCCTTGCCGATCTGCTTGCCAATCGATCCGCGTCAGCGGATGCAGTGTCCGAAGATGAACCCCTCAAGGGTGCATACTCCGGAAGGTCAAGTTGGTTGGGGAGGGTCGTGTATGGCAATATACAATGTCGAGTCTCCAGGCGGATATATGAATCTTGGTCTGTCGATTCCAGGTGCCGATGTTCTCGGGTACAAGAAGGGCTATACCTCTGACAGGCCATGGCTGTTCGAGGACTTTGACCAGATCACCTTCTACGAGGTGTCTGAGGAGAAGTATGAGAGTATGATGGCCACTTTCCGAAGTGGACGGTATGAGTACGACTATGAAGATACTGTGTTCGACATGAAGGAGCACAACAAGCTGCTCAAAGACACCAAAGAGGAAGTCGAGCAGATTCGCGCTAAGCAGCGTGTGGCCCAGGCGGAGATGGACAAGATCGAGAAGGAAATGCTGCAGAAGTGGAATAAAGAAAAGGAGGCGGGTAAGATCAGCATAGATACTGTACAAGACTTGATGCATGGTAAGTTTGCTCGATGTCGGCCAGAAATGTCCCCAAAACTGACAGACGGGTTAGATCCTGATATCATTGCGATCGAGGCGCCGCTGAATGCCAATGTCTGGAAGATTGAGGTCAAGGAGGGTGATACGATCAAGGATGAGCAGACAGTGTCAATCCTGGAGGCCATGAAACTCGAGATCCCGGTCAAGGCGGAGGAGAGTATGGCAGGGGCCAAGGTCGAGAAGATGCTCGTCAAGCCGAATGATGTGGTCCAGGCTGGGGATCCGTTAATGCTGCTGCGTAAGGCCAAATAGGTGAATTGTGCAGCGATATTGTGATTGTGCGAAGGAGTTCCAGTCCGCCTGAGCTGATATAATTCGTACCGTACAAGTGTTGACATGAGAATTGCTTCGTGATGATGGCTGGTCAATAATATGTTCCCTTAAATGAATACTGGTAGTTGAACTTCACCACCATTGTTGGCGATAGCTTGGCGCTACAGGTGTTGGGCAGGGCAACGCTCAGCACTCTGCGCACCAAATGTGAATCCTGCAGATACTACGATAACCGAAATCCGTCATGCAGATCAACCCGTGTATTACAACTGATTGCACCTTGGTGGTGGTGTAGAGAGGTAAGTGACTAACTAGCAGGCGCGGTATAGTGGCCGCTTTAGGCTTGCAACCCCTAGAGTGGCAGCCTCGTCGCGCGAAAGGTACCCAGCACCCACCAAGCAGCACCTCAACCACCACACTCTTGGAGCCCATGTCGAAGATCTATGCCAGCTTGAAGCGACGAATCTATGCCTTTTGCATGATTGCATCGCTGGTAAGCAAGTCTTTGCGAAAGAAACAAGAATGGTGGTCATCAGTGTCTCGATACATACATGCAAATCCAGGACGGAGCTCGATACCCATCTTGATGCTACCGGGCTGTCGACGATGTGCACTGGCTAACGAGTTGACGATGTGCTTGGTATCTGCATCCGCGTGCATGGCGCTGGATCTACCCTGCATATCGCGATTCCTGCTTCATGATGTCTAAAGCTCATTGCGCTACAGGCACACGCATCTCGATTAACGTCTTCGTGCCCGACAGACGACTTATGAATGGAGACACAGGCGACTGTCAAATCGTTGCAGGCCAAGCCAAACCTGGCTCGCCTGGCACTGATGTTCCCGCTGGGCATTTTCTCGACCTATCCCGTGGTATCCGAGCGCCCACACCACCAAATGCAACCACACACCCACACAACCCACACAGCCCACACAACCACAAGGTCCTCGAGATCCCACTTTGACATGCACAGAGGGCCTGAAAATTATTAGGCTATATATTGAAAAGTTTGAATTCCTCCCAACAATCCATGGTGGTAAGTACAGAATTCCATCATCATTCAATCATTCCGTCTAACAACCTCGAAAGGTGTAACGGTAACATCAGTCGCTCTCATCTTTCAATTCGAAATTTCGATTTCCGACTAGCCCCGGGTTCGATTCCCGGCCGTGGAAGCTTTCTTTTTTGCTCTTCTGAAGAGTTGTAGAGGCTGTCCTGGTGTTGTGGGCGAAAGAATGGCCTCGAGGGGGTGGTGGTGGATTTGGGGCTGGAGACCCACAACCACTCATTTTTACATGTGCAGACTACATTTTCTGGACTTGGCACGGCTCAAGCAATCTGGAGATAATTTTTTCATCATTTTTGGACTTCGTTTGGGCTTGCTCTTCTGCAATATGTGCCGACCGTCATTTTTGAGGCAGTGGTTCTTGTATAGGGCTGTGATGCCTCAACCTCTTATGATCCAGGCAACAGAACTACATCACTCTATTCTGCTTGAAAAGGGCTTTCTAACGATACTACTTCCGTGCTTATCAGAGCCCAGGATTCTTGGGACTTTCTCATGAATTGTGCTGCCCTTGATCTTGAGCTGCGGGTCACGTGAGCAGGCTTCTATTCAACCTCAGGAGGCAGCCTCATCCATATTGCGCCACCTCCATACTAGTATGCGCGCCACAAGTCCTACGGGGAGCATACTGTGCTAGTAGTTTCTCATGACAGTCTCGAAATCACCTGGTCGACGTCGAAAAGAGCCATACAATATCTGCGGACGCCTCATGGTGTCAGTGGCGCAACACCACCCCCTCGAGGCCATTCTTTCGCCCACAACACCAGGACAACCTCTACAACTCTACAAAAGAGCAAGCAAGAAAGCTTCCCACGACGGAGAGTCAAATCTCACGCTAGGTTTACACTACGGTATCATGTGTAAATGGTGAAAGATCGCTTGTCCGGGGTGCAAAGGAGCTGCCACTTGAGTCGTCGATTCATTAGTACGCAATTACACGCCTTATAAAGTCTTGGGCATGAGATGGCCAACGTACAAAATGGCCAGCTGTCGCACCACATTCTTGAGTCTCATGAAGTGGAATTTGTGTCTTGCAGAGTTACGCACGACTTTGTTGACATGCTAAGAATGTGGGCCACCCTCGCGCAGGTATTCGCCCAGGTATTTCCTGCACATACAACTTGATCAGTGAGCCCTGAACCAGGTCTTTCTCCTTTTGCTCTCTCCGTGTCGTCCATCTGACCAAAGTCGTTCCTTACCTGTTTTGTTACTGTTCATTCATTTCTTCGGGTAATATGCGATCTCTCTTGATTTGCGGCCTTGTCGCTGGTGCAACGGCACAAGTGAGCATCAGCTACAGCGTTACTGCAACAGTCACGGCAACCGAGATCGTCACTGTCACCACATGCCCATGCCTGAGCTCAACGACCTCGTCGATATTGATACCGGATGGGACGATCACGCCGTCGAGCACCATTGCCACCACAAGCACGACCACGACTCCGGCCCCATCTTCATCGCTGATGACCACCAGCGCAGTAGCAAGTGCTTCGTCGGCAAGCTCGACTACCTCTGGCACACCGATCCCTACGTATGATGCGTATATCAATGCTGTCCTTGTGCATCACAACTACCATCGTTTGAATCATACCGCCCTACCACTGACTTGGTCGGTATCGCTGGCTGCAACTGCGCAACAGATTGCGGAGACTTGTGTCTATGGCCATGTCACGTAAGTACCTCGCCTGCCCTCTTTTACTCGTCACTAACAGCACTGCAGTGATCTGAACGGCGGCGGATATGGTCAGAATATTGGCGCCGGATACCCCGGGACACCTTTGGGCATGGGTTCCTTCGTCACTGAAGGCCTTTACAACGGCGAGGTCAACAACTATATATACTACGGCATGGAACCTGACCTCAACACACTCAATGAATGGGGACATTTCACGCAGATCGTGTGGAAGAGCACCACGGCCGTGGGCTGTTATACCGCAGATTGCTCGGCAACCGGATTGCAGAACGTTGGAGGCAATGTGCAGCCATACTTTACCGTCTGTAACTATGCGCCGCCTGGGAACTTTGTCGGTCAGTTCACGCCGAATGTGGGTGTCCCCATTGGTTTGCCGAGCATAGACGCGAACTACGGACTTACCTGAGCTTATACCTGAGCTTATGAACTTGCGCACACGTATTCGGACCGCGAAGGCGATTGAAGAGTCGTATTGGCAAGTTATCCTTCCATCTCTAATACTTGGACGGGGCAGATCTGTCGAGGGATTGAATTGTAGCCGTAGACAGAATCGGTTCAGTTTTCCTGCTTCTTTCGTATCGTCCTGATGGGAGACCTTCCTGGCGCTTCGAATACTGGCCACATTGCGGTTCTGCCTTGTCGAAATCTGCACATCCATGATTGAAGACGTTGTGGAAGAATCAAAGGGCAATTAGTTAGACTGAGTGACTACTCGCAGGAGGTCGGATGGCAATAAGCCGAGCGCCGAAACCCATAAGGCGGCATTGTACTAAACCATATCTGGAATGGTACGGCACATCTTGAACTCCGATTTTGGTTGGCAGCCTTTACATTTCTTCGAACCCCAGAATTTCCGCCGTAAACCACTGTCTTTCTCCGGCTATTGTCACTGACCGCGCACAAAGAGCTCTTGTTATCTTCGAGTAGGAAAGATTCGCGAACTCTACAACATGGCATCCGCAGCGAAACCAACGAAGAATCAGCTGCGCCGAGCGAAGAAGAAGGTGCAGAAACAGCAGGTAGGTTTATTTCACGTTCAATCAAAGCGAGAACTTTCTGACGTCCTACAGCCGACAGGAGAGTCCCAGCCAGAGACCGAGACACAGGATACTGTCCCCGAACCCCCGGTTACAAAGATCGAGAAGAATGCGAAACCAGAAACCGAGCGCAATGGCGACGCACTTACGGACCCTCTCATTGTGGACGAGGGGAATCCACTTTATGACATGTACAAGGACATCATGGGAAGGTTCGAGGAACTCGACAAGGAAGATCCCTCACTGAAAGAGCCCGAAAAGCCTGAAGTCTACTTCGATGATGACGACGATATCCCCGACGAAGAAGAAGTGAATGCGGTGCCAAAGATGTCAAAGAAGAAGCGGAAAGAGATGTCCCAGCTGTCAGTGGCAGAATTGAAAGCACTTGTGAACAAGCCCGAAATGGTCGAATGGACAGACACAACTGCGCCGGATCCGAAATTACTGATTAACCTGAAATCACATCGCAATGTTGTTCCCGTGCCGACACATTGGGCGCTGAAGAGAGAATATCTGTCATCGAAAAGAGGTATCGAAAAGCCACCGTTTGCACTCCCAAAATTTATTCAAGAGACTGGCATTGCGGAAATGAGAGATGCCACATTGGAAAAGCAAGACCAGCAGACAATGAAGCAGAAACAACGGGAACGCGTCCAGGGAAAGACAGGCAAGCTCGACATAGACTACCAGAAACTATACGAAGCTTTCTTTCGCTTTCAGACGAAACCAGAGTTGACGAGATACGGAGAGGTGTACTATGAGGGCAAGGAATTCGAGACCAATCTGCGCCACCTACGACCAGGTGAAATATCCGACGAACTGAAAGAAGCACTTAACATGCCAGCTGGCGCCCCTCCCCCCTGGCTCATCAATCAACAGAGATACGGTCCACCTCCATCATATCCTGCACTCAAAGTGCCTGGTGTAAACGCACCTCCGCCTCCTGGCGCAAGTTGGGGGTTTGCGCCTGGCCAATGGGGCAAGCCTCCGGTGGACGAAGCGACGAACAGACCATTGTACGGTGGCGACATCTTTGGTGTGTTGCAGCAACAGCAGAACACGCAGCAAGGCGAGCCCGTGGAGAAGGACTTATGGGGCGAGCTGCAACCGCCTGAAGAGGACGAAGACGAGGAGGAGGAAGACGAAGACGAAGAGGAGGAGCAAGATGAAGAAGAGGGCGGAGCTGGACTCCAATCCACGACAGGTCTGGAGACGCCCAGTGGCATGGCTTCTTCCGTACCTACCGAGATTGGCGGGACAGAGACTGTGTCAGAATTCGATCTCAGGAAACGGCGCGGCACAGACACAGAAGACTCGTCACATCCGAGATCGGCTTACCAGGTAATTCCTGAACGGCAAGCGCGTGTCGAAGGCTTCTTTGGTGGCGATCGCGTATACGACCTTAAATCAGCTCAAGCTCAAGGCAATCTTCCAGTTCTCGGACAAGACGAGACGCGAAAACGAAAGAAGCCGGGTGACGTGGACGTGTCGATCAATCCGGATGCACTGGCGGCTCATGATGGTATGGACAAGGAAGATCTCCAACGAGCATACGAGCAGCAACGGAAAGCCGAGCAGAATCCTCAGTGGGATTTCCAGGAAGACTTGTCCGAGATGATAGCGACAGAATCTAGGAAGAGACAAAAGAGGGATGAAGAGAGAAGAAGTAAACGGTGATACATGATAAAGACCGAAAGACACTGTATTTTTACGTCAAGAGAGAAGGGGATCTATGGTGTTCCCTTCGGAAGGCTAATGGAAAAGCTGTCTTGAAGACTGTTACCACGAAACCCGCGTACGACCCCGAAGATACCTTATGTGTTCGAAGATGGGATGATGTGGGTAGTAAGGCTGAACCTCAGCCTTGCGATTCTCTTAAAGCGGCTCTTGTCCTTTCGCGACACCGTTAGACCGCCTGCGAAATGGCCGATGATTGGCTCCCCAAATTTCACATTTGGCCCAAATTTACGAGACAAAGTGAGCCTGAGATCGAGCTGGTTCATTTAGGGCCCAACATTGCGCCAGTCTCTGTCATTCTTTCGCCTCTGTCTGGCTTGCTACCAAGAGAAGTGCTCGAGTTATTAACCTCACGCCCTCCTGTGGATGGTCCTTTCTCACTGTTCCTCATGGACCGCTACCGGGGGTATGTTTTCCTCTCTTTCCAATCCCGAGACTGCCTTAGTGACTGACATCGAACTTAGACCGCGACGATCACCTCCACCTCGAGACAGAGACAGAACGCATCGAGAAAGAGATGACCATCCAAATGTCGAGTACTTTGGAGAAGGCGAAAGCTACCGACCTGGTGGCCAGACTGGCGAGGGTCCTTACAGACCATTGAACCGAGATCGAGCAGGCGCAGATTCATGGTCGGCAGAGAGA